TTGTATTAGTGATCTAGAATTTGGAAGAGCTGGGAACCCTTTACAGAAAAGCAGGAATCTCTCAGCACTTTGTTGATTGTAGAAGTTGCTCTTTGAGTAGAAACATGGACTATTCATGACCTAGTTAATGGAAAATTATCAGTTTTAGAAGCCCTTGCTTTGTTTCCTATCTGGAACTAACAGTATGAGGAAGTGGCTGAAAGATGCAAAAGACAAGACTTTCAAGTGCTCAGCCCCAGAGCTGGAGCCAGCATTTCAGGAGCAGTCAGTCCTTAGTGGCTCCCTGCTTTCTACTGACACTCAAGCAGCTTTGAAGACTACTTTTGAAGATGTATCCACACATTCAGATGCTTGGATAGGAACAGAGTGCTGTGGCAAGGTCTGGGACACAGGAAAGGCACATAGGGAAAACAATGCTCTAAATCAAGAACAACTAACAGGTGGAGTCTTCCAGCAAGAGTCTCAAGCTTGGAATAGCCAAACTGGTCAGGGTCTTGGCTAGGGAGTAGTTATGGGTGAACACTGTTTATACACTTAAGCCTTAGTCCCACACAGTGGGTAGACACAAGACCCAACTTCTTGTGTTCAAGCTCAAAACAGTCTGTGAGAAACACAGCCTGGACACCTGTAGTGGTTTGAGCTGGGTTTACAGCCAACCACCACAGATGGTTACGAGCAAAAGGCAGACTCATTAGGGGAAGAACGAAAAACCATACATTTATTACAGACACTAACAACACATAACAGAATAGGACAGTGAGAAGCATTGCCACATCTTGAGAACACCTTCCCCTCACCCCTCCCTTCTTCCTGGGCTCAGTTCTGCTCCTGATATCTCTACCTCCTCCCCCCCAGCGGTACAGGGGCAGGGAATGGGGGGGTGCAGTCAGTGCTGCCGCTTCTTCCATCTTTGGTAGAGAGAAGCTTCTGGAACTTGTTCCCTCTGCTCCATCGTGGTCCCCCTCTCCCAGAAGACAGTCCTCCACAGGAGTCTCTCTCCCACGGCTGCAGCCCTTCCTGAGCTGCTCCGGCGTGGGACACCCCCGCATGCTGCAATCCTCCCAGTGCTGAGTTGCAGCAGCAAGGGCTACTTTTTCCCACAAGACCCCAGCCTTCTTCGGGCACAGCACTTTGTTCAGCCAGGTGAAAATAAACACAGGCCACAAATCAATGTCTGCTCCACTGTAGATCTTCATGGGTGGCATGGGGGGGACGCCCTAACGTCTCACCACAGGATACAGGGGGGTCTCTGCTCTGGCACACCTCCCCCCCCCCCTCCTTTCTTCCTCCATTCCTCCACTGACCTTGGTGTTCACGCAGCTGCCACAGCTCCTCCTCACAAGTCCCACTGCTTGTCACCACGTCCCTTCTTAAATACATTATCACAGAGGTGCAGCTGATTGGCTCAGTTTCCAAACAGAGGTGGAGCTGACTTTGAGCTGGGGAAGCTTCGAGAAGCTTCTCACAGGGGGCTGCCCCTGCAGCCCCATTCCTTGCCTCAAAACAAAAAAGAACCCCATCACTCACTCAACCCAGGACAACACCACTTGAATGTGCCAAAACACAGCCTGTTTACAAGTGGATAGCATGGTACAGGCCATGTCCTGCTCATATATTCTGAGCCAATACCAAACTGATGTTCATGATACTACCGCTAGAGCCAACAGCAATGCAGCACAGGCTTTAGGCTGGAGCACTAATGCCTCCAATCCAGCAAACACATAAGCACATGCAGAACTTGAAAGGAGCAGTTAGGAGGTCTGAGGGATTGACTCCAGTTCTGGAAGTCAGCAGTGGCAGTTTGTGCATAGCTATAAAGCCTTTTATCTTCTAGAAGCCCGGATGCTGCTATGAATGAGACCTGCATCCTTATAGGTTACTGCAATAAGAGAGGCACTATCCATGAAAGAGGGTGGGATGGGAGGAGAAGTCTTTAAGACAAGCTAGGATAGAAACAGCATGAAACAGGAAAATAAACACCATGGCCCTGGTATGGAAACAGACTAATCTTTCCATACTCCCTAATGTTGCATAGATCTTGGAATAAGAGAGGGCAATTGAGGGAGCAGTAAAGTATTTCATATTGTGTATCATACAGAAATGATACTTCTATGGCTTGGCTATGTGAGCAGCTAACCCGAGCTGAGCAAAAACAGAGATTTGGCAGGTAAAATAAGAGAGCCATAAAACAAATTATTAAGAGGAAACTGGAATACATAAATACAGCCAAAGGAAAAGAGCCCCATGACAGGCAGGTAGCTGTTGTACGCATGGGGTTTTTTGCTTATTTTATTTTTGCCTTTCCTCACAAGAAGAAGGAAGTCTCTAGCCTAGGTTTGTCTGCACTTCACAGTTATTGAGCATTGTGCAACCCCATGGAGACAATCAATGAAAAACTGTTCTAGGCCTTCACCTTCAATAACATACTTACACCAACCAGGTCCAATAGTGGAGATCAAAAGAGGAACCTAGATAATAACAATGTATTGCTTGTAGAGTGGCCTAGGAATCCTCCTCACCAGGTAGTACAACTGTGTCCTAAGTGAAAGAAGGAGCAAACCCTATGCAGAAACATAAACTGAGTGCACTAAACTTGCTTCTCTGCCATGTAAATCACCTCTCTGCAACTCTGCTGCATCAAAAAAGCATTTCTTCTACAGGATTAGACCATTACTTATGGTTTTGTGTCCCCATTTTCCCCAGCAGAAGTTTGCAAGTCATCCCTGTGTGTTCGCTCACTTGAAAGGCAGACAGAGAAGTGGTCTGATATTGGGGGTCTCCAGATAGCAGCACAATACAAAAGGAAATAAATTTCAGAGAACCTATTTTAAAAATCTTTGTTTGGTTTATATTAAACACATAATTAACTCAAATGTCTGAACAAACTGAGAAGAAAGGTCTGAAATCAAGGATTTACAGAATTGCCAACCACGAGAGTTCACAAGTCAGGTTCTGAAATAACCGCAAAATTGGCTTAGAAACATAAAAATCATCTGCCTCTAGTTCTCCTTTTCCTCAAGCTGCTTGTATTGGAAATCTAGCAGTGGGCAGAAGTGAAGATGAGAATTTGCAGTGCAGTAGTTGCTCCAGACCTGTTCCCACAAGAGATAACATCTTCCTTCTCCCTGGAAGTGAGAAGGCTTGGGAGGAGCTGAAGTTCACAAGATGCACACACACATCTCCATCCACCATGTGGTAATCAGGGGTTGTGATTTTCCTAGCTAGAGTTAAGTTCTGGTTACCCTGACCAACTCAGCTGGGGTCTCACAATAAATGTCACCGAGTTGGGCAACTCTGGGTGTTGCATCTCTGTGTTTTCACCCAGTGCAGCTTCCCAGATTACATGGTGTTTTTTCCACCTACAAAACAGCACAGCAACAGCCACTCTTTGAAGAAAGTCATGTGAAGGCCTAAAGTAAGTATCAACAGTTGGATGAGCTTAACAGGGACATCATTTGCAACCTATATTTCTCAGCCTCTCTACCACTTTCTCACAAGACAGTGGAGAAAGCACATGCCCTCCCCACCCCATCCTTCTATCATGTTAAACCAGAAAGGCAGTGTCAGCAAAAGAAAAACACAGGCAATAATGTTAATAAAGCCTCAACCAGAGAAGAGGTGGAGGAGATGGGACTTCCCAGACATTCCTAGGGTGGCTGCAAGCAAACAGAACAGCACAGGGTTTCAAAGCACAGTGAAGAAAAAAACTGGAGATGCAAATGAGGCTGCCAAGCTCCAAACATTAATGCAGATGCCCTGCCTGCAGTTAAGGACTGCACAGGTGATGCACCCTGTGCTGCCATGCTATTCCCTGCACTGTGGTCCCCCACCAAGACTGGCTGGACTAGCAACACTTCTGACATCTGCCCCAAACTGCCCTTGCTGGCCTGCACCTCCCCTTCTGAAGTGTCTGAAGTGTAAACTCTGCATCAGTGCAAGTATAAGCTTCAGGATGCAGAAGAAAGGGTTGGGCATCAGTCAAAAATCTCCAGCCCCATGACCAAAGCTGTTCCCACCTTAGGGTACCAGGGCATAGCTGCAACAGCAGATCTCACCTATACCTAAGCAAATTTCACTTACTCTCCCCAGACTAGCACCTCCCTGTGGCAAAAGTACCCCATGCCAAGAGCAACCTTATGCCTTCTTGTGATCCCACCAGGCAGGCAGAGACAGTGACAGATGATGCTCCCTGGTGTATTTAGTTGAGAGGAGAGCCCATGACTGGCCCATCCAGCACAGGGACAACATAGAGGTCATACTACTTGCCTGGTGTGACACTGCATGAACAACAGTGATGAACTCCTGCTGGTTTGCAAACACAAAGGGACTTGCACTAGAGCCTGCGCTAGCCTATGGAGCTCCCTGCAGGAAGCTGTGCTGTGCTGACCTTCATCTGGTCTCAAAGGAAGGAAAAAAAAAAAAAACAACAAACAAACAAACAAAAACAACAACACAAAAAAAAAAAAAAAAAAAAAAAAAAAAAAAGACCAAAATCCACTTTTCCCAATGCAGAGGATAGGCCCCTATTTCTGAGGGCACTGAGAGGTCCACTGGGACACTTTTCCAACCAGTACTTACTTCTCAGCTTTACTCACAGCACCCCTGCTTCCCCCAAATGATCACATAATTCTTTTTAACTAGCTGTGAAAAAAGCAAGTTTAGACACTGAGCTCCAGCCTGCCTCAGGCACCTGCAGGGCAGCCCAGCCAGGTTCAGACAGCAAACACCCAAAGGTGCAGTTTCTCTTAGTGTGGAGCCTACCCAAGGCTGCCCAGGGAAGAGGACAGGGGTCTCCTCAGGACAGGTCTAAATGAATTTAGGACATGGCCTGAACTACAGCTAGCAAACTCTCCTGAGGGCATAGGCAAAGCATGGGCTGCAGGGAGAAAATGCGAGCCTCTGGGTTGACAGCACTTAACCAATGCCCCAGCCTGTGCTCTTGCTGCTGCAATATCCACCCAAGCAGCCAGGCTGGCACCTCGCACACCACTCCGTCTCACCTGGGAGAAGTTCAGCCCATTGAGTGGGTGGCACTGCTCTTCCACTTTCTCCACAGCACCTGTTTGCTTCTTCAGCCGTTCTGCTTCCTGGGCCAGGTATAGATCCAGAACAGGCACTCCTCGCGACTTGATGTCTACTTCCGTCAGAGAATTCACCATCAGCATCACCCACACTGGCCTCTTCCTCTCCCAGTTGCCAGCAATGGCATTGAAGAGGTAGTCTGCATACAGCCCTTTGCCCCGCTGGTCTGGGGTCATCCAGGATGGCATCATGAGCTTGACATACTCCAGGTGTTGCTTGAGTCGGCGGTAGATGTCATGGGGCAGCACGTCCTGGAGGTTCTCCCCCTGTGGCAGGAGCTGGCAGCTGGTGAGAGCTGAGATGGTATAGGGATCAGTGAGGTCCAGCTCAAAGTACACGATGTGGCTCTGCTGAAAGGCCTTCTTGGAGTTCTCTGGAATGAAATCCCAGACACGCGCGTATGGGACATGGATGGTGCCAAAAAAGTAAGATGGGGGCTCTCTCTTGATGGTCCACAGGAAGGAGTTCAGCTCACTTTGCTAGGGGAGAGGGAGACACAGCTGAGTAAGTACAAACATTTATGCTGAGCCACTCAGTACAGGGCTTAAGGAAAACATGATGCCAAGCTGGCAGGTTACCTGGCTCAGTAGCTTGCCAGCATGGACTTTTCCTAAAATGGCTTTGCTCACATAGTCCTTATTTACCATCCTTTTTCTCAGGCCTTGAGGTCAAAAATAATTTTTCATTCATTAAAAACACAAGAATTTTGGCCTTGGCTTTCTCCTCCTGAAAGGCCTTCTGGGTATTCTTGACAGTAATGCCACCCTGGCTCATTACCCAGGTATCTGACAAAACCACAGACCAAGCAGGCTGTGCTCCAGGCAAGATGCTTATCCAGCATTCATCTTTTATGGAGCCAAAAGCTGGCATCACTTTGCTGATGCACAGCAGGACAGCAGGGTTCCAATCGCCTTCACCTTGATGTCTCTCACTTCAGCACAGCAAGGCACCTTTTGTCAAAGAAACTGCTGTGACAGTCAGAGGGTGCCTCAGCATCTCAGGAGACCTTTCTGCTCTGAACAAGACACCAAACAAATGAGTAACACAAAACACAGCTGGCAAGCAGACTTCCTGGAACAGGTAGAAATACAGTTTTACAGGGTGTAGCACATGGCAGACAGACACAGAGTCAAGACCCCTCACAGCCCAGTTCTTTCTTCAGGAGCAGAGAGGTACATGCAATACCTTGGAAAATAAGGAAAGAAATTCTGCAGGCCAAACTCGGCCTGTGGTGCCAGGGCATGCTCTTCTAAACATAGAGGAGGAAAAAGCTTCTTTCCTTAGATTAGCTTTTAAAAATCTCTCAAAAACCACAGGCATCAGGAAGTTATAATCAGACTTTCAGTTTGTTCTGCTGCAAAATGTGCCTCACAGCATCCCCAGGAATACCGGAGTGTTCTCTGGCAGGGCTGTGCTCAAGCCCTAAGCAATCCCGCAGGACAGGAGAGCAGATGGGGCAAAATGGATCCTGCTTGGATCCTGCCAAGCTACTTTATACCAGCAGCAGGCATGACCTCCATCACTGACAGCATGCATGCTGCTGCTGTAGTGGTCCTTACTGAAGCAATGGACACAAACAGTTTCTATTTGTCTGTGCAGACAGGAAGAGGTAGCCTTTGAATGTCTAAGTAAGAGGACAAGCTTCCAGACGCACTCAAACATCTGGCCAGCCTTCAGCCAGCAGATAACTCAAACCTCTGCTCTGGGGCAAAGTGTGCATGTATGCTGATCTAAAAAGGCCATCTGATTGCCAAATGCAGAGCAGGCTGCTTGGAGGAATTTATTGGAACCACATTGCCCATAAATTTCTGACAATGATGACCCAGGGTCAGAAAGGTTAATCTTAAAGACTGCTCTGCAATGGCTCATCCCAGACAACCTTCTCCAGCAGCTCTCTACATCAAACCCAGGTCACTGATCAAGCAGCACTTCAGCAAAGCACTACCACTGGTCCATCTTATCAGCATGGACTGACAAGCCAAGTATATGCCAAAGAGCTCTTGAGATACTTCTGCAGCATGTTGAGAGTCTGAAGGATACCTCAGACCTTGGTAACACCATACTAGAACTCCAGATCCTATAGGACAGTCCTGCAGTGTGTTCCTGAATTACAGACCATAAAATCTTTCCTGAAGACCATGGGAACAAGGGACAGCAAACATCATGATGCAGCACTGAGAGGTAAAGAAGATGCAGGGCAACAGGTGAGTATGAAACTGACATAGACAAAGAACAACATAGGAAAATGAACACACAAAGTAAAACAAGAAGGAAAATGAGACAGGAAAAATGGAAGGACACAGCACCATGGTGAGAAATTAACTGGAAATAGTTGTAAGCCAGCAAGAAGGAAGGACCAAAATTGCTGTCTTCTATCTACAGGCAATCAAAAAGATAGAAGAGGCACCTGGGACAGACACAAGGTCAGGAGGTCAACACTCCTTCACTTAGCACAAGTCTGATCATGTATGTGGCAGTGCACAAGAACACCCAAAACTGCAAGGAATCATAAGGAACAAGTGGTTACCAGCCAGCTTAAAACTTCAATTAAGCCCCTGAATAAATGCAGCCCAGGTAGATGGTACCAGGCTTTAACACAGATGATCAGTGCTGCTCCAGACTACTGCACACAGCCTAGCTAGAAAGGTGCTTCACATTTCACTCTCCCTTTTTTTTGCCCTGTAAATTCCTCCAGTCTTCACAATCAGATACTGAAAGCAAAGTAATACTGCTTGTTTTTAGTGGTACCACTGAGGAAATCACATAGGTCATCAGGCACAGAGTAAATTAAGTCTTCCTTTAAAGAGCCTGCAGCACAGGAAGAAGCAAGCAGGCTGAAACCTAGCAAAACTTCTCACATAGTCCTAGATACTGAGACCTTACAAAGCAAAGTGGCTGAGCACTCTTGCTGGAACTTCCACAAGAACAGGAGCAGTCATGAACTTGGAAACCACCCTCAAGCACTATTCAGACCTCCCTTCTCAGAATTGCTCAGAGCCAATGTGAGGGGCCAGAGAAAAGGCCTCAGTCTCCCACCATTGATGGGAAACCTCCCCAGACCCTGCAGAGCCAGTTTCTGGGCACCAGCAATAGGGTATCATCACCAGATGACGATACAACAGAAGCTCACAAAGCTCATCTTCATGCCAAAAGGTGTCATTACAGCTGCTCGGGACATGCTAGTGGCTCACTCTCCTTTGGCATCTCCCTTACCTTCAGGAGGTGAAGACTGGGTCCCAGCACTGCTCTGTCTCCATGCCAGACCCCTGCAAACAGCTCTCTACTGCTTTTCATGAGAAGAGATGGGGCAGAGTCCTTGGTGTGCCTGAGCAGGTCTGTGCTTCTCCTGCCGTACTTTCTGGCACTCTCACATCCCTGTGCATCCCCTGGAGTTCATGCATGTTTCACTGCAGCTTCAAAGAGAGAAAAGCAAGGGTATAATCTCTCCTCAAGACCACAAAAGGGAGCCATTCAACAATGCTCTAGGTGGCTGTGAGATAGCACAGGAGAAGTGCCAAGGCTTGTTCAGCATCACTGGCAGCACCTATCTCTCACCTCACTTCCCTGAGAGTATGCAGTAGATAAAGGTGTTACAACCCAATTTTTGTTTGCAGTAGGATCCTTCTACACAGCTGTTACATTAGAAAGGGGCGCTTTAAAACCAGCATAAATTGCAGCCAAAGGAATGTCCCGGAGGCTTGAGAGAAATGGGTTGTATATCTCCAGGAATTTCACTTTCAGCAGCATAACAACAAAAAGTCAGGTTCACATATAGATCAAGAGGCATACTTCTGCCTCCGATCTCCAATTTATGAATGGTATTCAATGCATTACTTGTGATGGGAAAAACTAGGAGCAAGGGATAAGAATGGGCGGGCAGCCTAAGGAAAAGAGTAGCAGTCCCACACGAGAACACAGGTCTTCCAATCTGCTGCCACACCAAGATCTGAGGCAGCATCACGCTAGCCATACAACACTTTCTCTGCACCTCAAGTTTAACCTCCCACTACAAAGTCCCAGATCAAGGTAATTCTGAATACTCAGCACTATGGCACAGTGCCTTCTCCCTTGCTTCACCTCCTCAGGTGAACAACAGCTGGCTATGAACAGATTCAGGGTAACAGACCAGCTAAAAAATTGCTTGGAACAAAAAAAGAGAAAGAGAAAGGCTTCTCCGTAGCCAGTAGGGGAATGAGGGAGAAGGAAAAAGAGCTGCTCAAGCTCACACTGTCACAGACACAATCCACTGGGACCTATGGGATCCACTCCCTACCATGAGACTGGGAAACCCATGGCTGCACAGGGGACAAACTCCACTGCCCACTGTGAGATGTGATGGGGGCACATAAAGCCAGACACTGTTTCCCTGAAATGAGGGGACAACAGTATCAGGAATTACAGAAATCCCAGAAAAGCATGGTGCACATCAAGGGTTTTTCCTCAGGGAGGATCTAGGCAAGGACAAAAAAAACTTGAAGAAAGGCAGAGTAAAGTGATGTCTTACAGGTCATAGCTGAAACCAGAGCATTCTAGTCCCATATCCCAACATCTGCACTCTAATCACATAGCTGGCTGTCCACAGGTGGCACTGGAAGCTCCCATGACATCCTGCCTTCCTTCTATCTGCTTCAGCACAACCCAGGCTCTGACTGAAAGGTATTTTCTTTACCTATCCAATAGGCTTCTTCTTTTAAAATTTAAAAAAAACCCAAGCCTCAGAATCTGTTCATTTTAACTATCCCCAGCAGCTTGCTTTTCCAGCAGTATTTATAGGACCACCATAGACTGCAACCTGTAGTCTTCAAATACACAAATATTACCGCATTTGTCAGATGTCATGCATCACTTCAGGTCAGGCAGCAACTATTCTGCTCTTAGAGTGGTCCCAAATAGAATCAAAGAAAGTGTCATCTTTATTCTGAGAAACTAGCTCAAATTGGGCCAAATGATGTACTGACTTGTCAAGAGAAATGTTATGGTAAACATCCAGAAAATAATGCTGCAAAAACCAGGAGGAACAAAGAATGCACCTAGTGGCAACACTCTGAACATCTAGAAGAAGAGCATGGAAGTTTAAAAACAAACAAAAAAAAAAAAATCAAGAGGGAATGTTGTGGTGATACAGGGAAAGGAGGTTCAGAGAGGAAGAAAAACTGCTGTCCAAAGACTGAGGAGCTGGATGTGAACTCCAGACTTTGGAATCCTATATCTGGTCTCCTTCATTCTACATTACTTCTGCTTCTTTACATCTTCTGTCTCATCTGTGCAGACTATACATTTTTCCAGCACAAAGTGTATAACTTGCTGTTCAGGAAGGTGCCCTCTGTGGCTTCAGTGTGTTTCAGAACTCCTAGTTTTCATATTCACCACTTGGCCCCACAGTCACATCTTCCAAACCTCAGCCTAGGATTGCACTCTTTCTCAATTCACAATATTCTCTTACATTTTTTTTGTTTGCTATGAAAGCCAGAGCATGTGT